TTTTGTGCCTACTCGTTTCTTTAATATCTTATTTTGCACAGTGCCGTATTTATATTGTATTTTTAAGTTAATGTCACTTGTTTACACTTTTTATTTTGGGAGTATTAATAGGTACTTTATGTAAGCTATTTATATTGTATTTCATATGTTCAGTTCATTTTTTTGTATTTGTTTCTTTAATTCTTTCTAAGTATTTTGAATGTGCAATTGCTTTATTTAAATAAAGGAATGTCCAAGACAAAGCTATTACGTTTCTTATGAGTATATACACAAGCAGTGGAATTTACTGCGATTCAACAGGGCGGCACCTGAAATCTTGCCTAGGGCGCCAAATTGGTTAGGGCCGGGCCTGAGAAGAATGCTATGCATCAAACATCGGAGCCTTTAAACGCGAGTGGAGCCTAAATGTGGAGCCTGCGCTGCACATCCACGACAGCTCGTATATTTTAGCAACATCAAACATCCCCCTGGCTCTGGACCCAAATGACGTCTATCGTCATGCATTATGCCCTTCCAGCAGCCTGCGGCCAAATGCGCCATTTCAATTATTGCGCGCTGGTAAATGGAGACATCCGCCGGGAGGGTGCGCACACAGATCCGTTTTATTCTCCCCATTTCTCTGCTGAATCCAAAACGTCTCCACAGAAATCAGCAGAAAGAGGAAACTGAGCAGAGTTCGGGTCGCTCATTGGCTCATCTGCAGCGCCAAGAGAAACCATTTTGTGTTCCAGTGCGCACGGTTTTACGCAGAGACTCTGCCGGGCTGTCGCACCCATCCTCAGGCTCCCACTCATTTCTTCTTCGGCTGTTCACTGCTGAAGCAGTGCTCCTCTTGGTTTTAAACTCCCAGTCTGACTTACACATTTATTAGGCATCGGTTAAGTCTATTAAATACACGTTAGAGCTGACTTGTCATGGGTTAGAGGCTTCTACATCTGTCTTTTACCGCGTTTCTATACCACCTATGGACGGATTACTGAAGGGGCCCACTGGGCACAGGCTCAGGGGGGCCCTAGGCCAGAGACCTCTTAAGGGACTGTGACCCTTTCTATTGGGAAGTCAGTTAAACTACAAAAAGCCACAAAATGAGAAAAACTAAATTTAAAAAAGAGAAACAAAACTAAAAGGTCCCAGGCTGTGAGTCCTGCTCCTTGATGTGTCCACAGGTCCAGCTGTCTGCCTACAGCAGGCTCCAGTGACAGACCTGCAGCTTCTCTCCTTACACTGAGTTGTACCAGGTGACATCCTGTGTGACCTCTGTAGAGCATTATGTGTTTACAGTTATGTAATCAGAGACACTGTGACCTAACCCTACACACTTATTTTATTCTTGGTCACGTTTCAACACCAGTGTGTTGTGCTTCATAAACTTATCTCACAAAACCTGAATCTGTAAAGTGACTTGTAATTGTCAGGTGAATGTAGTGCAGTAAAAAGTACATTTCTGTCTGAAACATAGTGATGCAGAATGACCTAGAAATTAAAACAACACAAGTAAACTCAAGTACCCCAAAGGAGTACTTACAGTACTATACCTGAGGACAGCTCCTCTGTGGAGTCTGACATCCTGCTGTACTGTTTCCTGTCTGTAACGACACAGGGGCTGATGGGAAACTACTGTGTGTGTAATCGAGGTCAGAGACGCACTGGACCAGTTCCGTCTTCGTCATTCTGGAG